GTCCTATTTAAATAAAAAACGAAACCTTTTTGAACCTCTTAAAACTGAGTCTCAAAAATTCACATTTAAGAGTTTTATGTGGTGGTTTGTCCTATAATAAGGCCAAAATGTTTCAAATTATAACTCAGGATATAGAAAAAACATTCTCACGGTTCAAACAATTCAAAAGCCAGAAGAGAAAATTTTCCATGAATACAACATTGATTAGAAAATGCGTTTCGTAATTTTCTGTAAATTTATTCACGTGCAATTCAATTTTTGTATAGAAAACCGGACACGCATTCCAATTCCATTGAAAATTGTTTCTATTCTCGAAATGAAAGGAGAATAAATCCGTTTCAGATAAATTCCCGCCGCGAGTTACCCATACTTTATCGCCACCTAGCGTTTCTCTCGCGCACTCGCGAAATGCTCGCAATATCATTAGCGTCTCCAGGAATAAATTTTGTCGATTAAGCACTCAAAGTAATAACTTCTATTCGCCGCGAATTGAGGTAAGCGGAATTACCTTATCAGATTGTCGATCGTCGTCGAATTGAATTATACTTTTGGCTAAGTAAATAATCGCTCAGGGAAATGGTATACTTGAGCAGATAATAAAATAAAATTAACTGTTGAATTTCTGATGCCGGAGGAGCGTTAATTAATGTCAGAAATGTAAATAAAACTTTAAATAAATGTATATGAAAATAATATTCGGAAAAATAGCGTCAGGAATTAAAAATTTGTTTTATTCGTATCAACTTCTCTACAGAGTCTATAGAGGAGAACAAATATAGTTTTTCACTATTGGGAAAACATCTTTTCAATACTTATCAGAAAAAGGAAAATTTATAATATACCTGATGGAATATATGAACAGTGGCATCAAAAGTCATAAATATTTAGTTCAGTTCTCAATTATGTTCTGTGATGGGATGGGTTTCGAAGTATAATGCTAATTTATAAGGTGGTAATTGTTTGGCCCTGGTTCAATGTTGGCTTTTTTGCTTTTGACTTTCTGCATTTAATTGTGTAGAAATAGGTAGGTATTTGGTAACAATTTGGTATACGCATTTTTGTTATTTAAAAATACTCGGATATTAAACTGAATTCAATTTTTAGGCGTGCTTCTTTTAAAAATGAATATTTGGTCATTGTTTATTAATTTTTTAAAAAACGACACTCTTGTATCTCTTTGAAAAAATAATGTGCTCAAATATGTTAAGAAATGAATGAAAAAAATCCATCTTAAAATGTCTCTTAATTTCCAGATTTCATATAGTTTCTTGTAAAAATCAAACGCTTAAATATTTATTTCAACTAGAAATTACTCTAGATATGAAATACAATTGTATTAATAATGAAGTAATAGTTTTGTATCTCTTGCGTCCATTGAGTGGAATTTCTCGACTCGAACGGTATTTATACTGAAAAACAGAAGCCACTCACTTCATATATTTTAAGTCGTATAGCAGTAGGTAACGTAGTCTGCACAAAGAAAATTTCCCAAGCCGTTTTATAGAAAAACTATACGTAACGATAATTTTCTCGCATGTTTCCTAGTTGCGACGCCTCATTAAAAAAAAATTACCAACCGTTTACCTAGCGTTAACAAGTCGCGAGTTATTCCGGCGCGTCTATCAACTGTCCCATAAATCGTATAATTCGCATTTCTTGCCATGATAAATAAATACAAAAACCGGCAGTATACGTACTCATTATGCATTACGTTATGGCCGCGGTCTATAATTATCCTATTGCGCTAATAAGTAAATTACACAGATAAAACCCAATTAGTTTTACCCGCATAAATAAAAACGAAACAGAAACAATTGAAGATCGTAAATTAAACCGCAAAATGATTTAATATCCAGTGGCAGATTTTGATTCAATTAATTAAATCGTGATTTATTCAGGAATTGCACGGAATTTCCCTTTTATATAGTTAGTTGTTGCTTTGAAATGTTTTTAACAACAAATCAGCGACACTTGCTTCGATAAATTGCAGTGTCGTGTCGCTCATTTTGCCGGTACTTAAAAAAAAGTAAAATTCGTTGATATTAATTTCCCTTATATTAATATTGATAAATTTGATTCCGCTAACACATTTTTAAAATCACGAGCGTTTTTAACACAATAAAAATTTAAATATTTCGTTTCAATGGTCAACCAATGGTCGTATAAAAAGGATAGTACGCAAAACTTCTTTAGCCACTCGTTTATTAAATACTCGTTCCGCCAATCCAAAGTCGTGACCAAAGTACATTTATCACAGTTGTAACTATAACGGGCATGAAAAATATGTAGAGCTTTTAATAAAATGTCTTTTTCGATTCACACTTGAAATTTTTGGTCCTATTCTTTATTTATGGTCCTTTGGATAGAGTGTAACAAATGTTTTATCATTTCTGTAAACTTTTGCAATATTAAGTGGCCCATATAATCCAGACTAAAGAGAAAAAGCAAGAGAAAAATATTGAGAAATTGATTAAAGAGAAAGCCAGAAGATGTCCTTCCAGTTAAACCCTTTAGATTAGAGGCTTATTGGGTAAGGCGAAAAATATAACCTTATTTTATCAAATACTACATGAAAATGAAAATAGTTTTGGTTAGTTGTCAAAAATGGTTTAGATAAAATAGTACATGATGTTGCAACTTACCCATAGTATGGAATAGTTGGTGTTCATTTTTTTGAAAAATATTTTTTAAACAGATCGTTTGCTTTTTTGCCGAAATACTATTTATTGCCTAAAGCTAGTGTTCTAATGCTAACTAAATGTTTTGTGTTCATTTGTCTCTCTATTCTTTAATTTGATGGTATTTAAAATTGCCGAACTTACCCCTATAGAGAAAAAATGCTAATATAGAGAAACTTGTATATCGCCCATGTCACGAATAATATTTATTATTATTATATATGCCAATTAAACACATTTGTATTGCAAACCATATAGAAAATCCTACTGCGCACTTTAACTTAGTGTTTCACGCGACATTAGAAAACAAATGCCAAGGAAGGGTTTGAAAATTATTACCCATAATCACGAAGGACATTTAAATTATTAGCCAAAAGATTTTACTGGTTTCTATATGCGGAGAGTATGTATATATAACATACATATCATAATATGTTTACGTTTTATTGCCTCTATACTTAACTATCGTGATTTTAATTTATTTTTTACCTAATATCCACGATTTTTTTAGTTAATAAGAACTTATTTTGACCAGAGAAAAACAAGTTCACTCTATAGAGAAATACCTAGGTTAATAATTGTTGTATGAGAGTTTAACCTGTACCCTGTATCCGATACTTTTATTCATTTTTGTCTCTGCTCCTCTCGTTTTTATATCTACCAGTTACTTAACTATCATGTTTGTAATTCAATCTAAATTTTATCAATTCGTCTAAAAACAACTTAAAAATTATATCAAAAATTTAAACCGATTACAATTTCCCCACCGGCAACAGAATAAAGAGCAAAACGATAACATCCAAAGGCGAGCGTGTTATTCAGGAGTCATAAAACTTAAGTTAACTTTTACGATTTGGTTTACGAGCTCCAATCTCGTTAGGATTATGGTCTAGTCAACCTTAAAGAGGGTGTTACGTTTAGTATATGATCTCAAAATGACCAATCCGGGTTTGCAAATTATTTATGTTCACAAATAAGCATAGGTAAAAACTTATTTCTGGATTCGAAGAACTTAGTTCGTTCTAATAGGTAATTATTATTTGAAAACAAAATTTTCGATGCGCATGGATTTCGATTAATTTCTATAGATTTAGAATTTACTAAAAAAAGGTTATTGATTTTTAAAGTCTGTTGCGTGTTAGATTCTCAATCGCATGGAACCTAATTAACAGAACAAAAACAAATAATTTTGATAAACCCAGCAATAAATATTATTGCTTGGTGTTTTGTAAGTTCCGAAAATGAGATGGTGTTTTAAATGATCCCCATCTACTTGACAAAGATTCGTTACTTAATGTGAACGTGCTTCTAGAAAATTTAAAAAATAGAAGAAACTTAATAAAAACTTTTATCTTCAGTTAAATTCAGCGGAACGGGGTTATGCTAACAGCTAATTTAAACTACTGGTGAATGCGCCGGGAGGTCCGAATATACTTATAGGCCATTTAATTTCCGTCAATTTTGTTATCAATCGTTTTGCGGTAAGTTCCACAACAGACACAATTTTCCAAAAATTTCTATCTAAAATTTTGCAAAACTGCAGCAAAGAATTCATATTTCAAAAATTAATCATTAACAACTTTTTTAATGATAATTTAAAGGCAAAAATTTAGATTTATAAACTTTGGGGTTTTGGTAATGAAACATAAAAAATCTAAGTGCAAGCTATACCTATATAACAATTAGTACCATCACTATATTTTAATTAGGGAACTGCGGCATGATATTATTTATTTCGAGTTGGTAATATCAGGTTAAATAATTTATTTCCAATCTCGGCAAAAAAAAGTAAATTACTCGCTGCTAATAATTAAACACTAATTTCTTTGTTTTTTTTAATATTAATATATTACATTATTTTATATGCAAGTGTAGTGATTGTAAACGCCATTTTTGACAACCAAAAAAGAAAAGTTAGTCCCAATATAGAGCTTCAGAAACTGGCATTTCTTATGGATCGTTTAAAATTCAAACATCTCACACTGTACATTGAAAATAATGGTGTATTTTATTTACGAAGGAATAGGTTAAAAGGATCAGTGAAAATCGTAGTAAGTTTTTAAAAAAATTGATTTAATTTACTTACACGGCAACAATTCATAAATTTGCTTTCAAAAACTCTAAACCATATGTTTTTAATTTCTTAATTTTATTTATTTATATTCTTTTCTTCTATTTCTTATACCTTTTTATTTATACGGAATTTTCTGGTGTGTAACAAAAATAATGTAATAAACTAAATAAAAATTATTTTTCTGGGTGTTCAGTATTAAATTACTGAAAAAATGACAACGATCTTATCAAAGTGAGAGGAAAACTCACCTTAATAAATTAACGTCTCGGGCCGCCCCCTTCCATTATCACCCTCCGTCCCACCCCCGCGGGGGTCCCTCCACTAATTTTGATCCACCTGCCCCGCTGCCGCCGCAGCGGCGGCTGCTGCCGCCTTTTGCGCTTGCGCCTGCTTTTCCTGTTCATTTAATTCTTTTATGGCCTGCAAGCAATATATTTTTTTGCTAAAGATAATTTTGATTGCAAAAATATGTGAATGAATAACGTAATGTAAATAACATATACAATATTTATGAAAATCATGTTATCGCATAAAGCCTTTTTTTTCAACTTTTTAGAACCGTAAGAGCTCTTTTGAATTTCCAAAAAATTACGAAATATTTTCGAACTGAACGAATTTTCAATAAATCAGATATTTGATTTCAAAATGACAGATCATATGAACAATTCAACATCTTCCAAATATTCGACTATTTAAAAAAAAGGGAATAATGTAAAATAACTAACCTGTATTTCCTTTTTAAGTTTCATCCGCCTATTTTGAAACCATATTTTAATCTGTCGTTCCGTGAGGCAGAGCGCATGCGCCATTTCGATTCTTCGCCGCCTCGTCAGGTAATGGTTCGTGTGGAACTCCTTTTCTAATTCCAAAGTTTGGTACCGGGTATACGTTTGACGGCCCCGCCTCCTGAGGCCATTGGCACCTGAAATAAGAGAAGGTTAATGATTCAATGCCATTGAAAAACGTGCCACCAAACGCCGGAAGAAATGGCATTAATTTTTGTAATGCTAATATAACCAGCGGATGTCATTCATATTTAGAGCCTATTATCTTATAATATCTATTATAAACGAACATTTTTTTTATACATTTGGTACAGATAATTCAAATGAACATATTTTCAATTTTTTATTAAAGATTTTTTTTATTGTTTACATTATATATTTTATCTGTTGTATTATTTTATTTTTTGTTTAAAATTTCATTTTTTTCATTTTTTGATGTTTTATTATTACTGCTATTTTTATTATTATCCTATTATTATTATCAACTTAAATATAATTCTACACTATTATTAATCTATTATTTCGATGTGTTGCAGATTTAAAATATTGCCAATTTTCATTAGGTAATTATTAAACAAATTAAATTACTATTTAAAAAAGAATAAAGAATGCTTTAATAAAAAAAATCCACATGGCCATTATTATAGATTATATAAAGATTTTTTTTATAAAGTCATTAAGAAAATAAATAAAAGTCTTGCAACACATTTCCGATTTGAATGAAAATTGCACAGGAAAATATGTTTTTCATTTAAAAATATGTTACAAATATAATCCGTTACTATACTTTCGGCACTATTAAATGCCATTGCTATTTCTGGCAGTTTTATTGCATTAACTTGAGGGTTAATGTATTTTCTTAACTTTTTGGCGAATGCGCCGGGATTCACATTTATCTTGTAATTAAAAAAGTTACAAACAGAATTTAATTTTAAAATCAGCAACATACAAAAAGCCGACAAAAAGTCTGGAACACAAGTTTGCTAAAATGCAATATATATTTTTAATTTAATTGTAATTAATAAGCCTGTCTTTGAAGTGCAAAGGTATTTTTATTTTGATATTTCTAAAATTCTTTGGAATTGAGAAACATGTAGATACAGATGGTTAAATACACATTAATTATTGAATTAGCACGATTAATTAAGACAAAATTAAATTAAATTAAAGTTAGTTAGTTCCCTTTTGTTAGTTAGAAGAAGGGACAGTTAAAAGTACAGGGTGGATGTGGCCAAACTTTATTATATGATCTTTTGATTGATTTTGAACCAGAAAGGTTATATTTTTATTTGTATCTACATGTCCTGAAAACCAGATCAAATTGGAAAAAAAACATCTTTTTTTAGTATCGCGCTTCTATTTTCTAAATAAAAAATAGCAACCATATTTAAACATTACCATTAGATAAGACCAAGAAACAAAATGCTTTTTGCGTGTTATCAGAATATCATTGAACAAGTTTATGAAAATCTCTGTGGAGATTAAGATATTTTTTATGAGAGAACTAAAGAACCAGCGAAACAAGTTTCAAAGCAAAACATTTTTTTTGAAATGACTTGAAAAACCACCTATTGAACATTGCTCACGCCCATAGAAAAACCCACATTTTATTTTCTTCAATAAATAAAATGGCAAATGAAACTTTACAATTAAGATAACATAATAAAGTTGAAATCGCTAATATCGGTTAAATTCATTTTGGAAAGTGAAAGAAATACGATTTCGGCGTTACCTTAAATCTGGAATCAATATGACATTTTTGAAAGTCATTTTGCACTTTCAAAGCTCGGTATCCTTTTAACAGCTAACTAACTATAGTAAGTTATGAAACACCCTATATATCATTTACATTATGATGGCCCGTTATATTAAGAAATGTTGGTCAGCACGGGACGAAAGACTCAAAGGACGGATCGCCATCAGGCTACCAAACTCTTGCCGAATTGAGAACGGTTTTCTCCGAGCAGTAATATAATTATACGTTTGGTCCAGTCCATTGCTCGTATTTCGTCGCGCCTCAGTTTTATCTCATTGGTTTTTTCGCATTGTACTTGAGCTTCTAAATTATACCCCCTTAACCATATACGTGTCAAAGATTAAGTGGGTGTTCCTTGGTGCGTATGAAAATAATAATTAAGCCGATCGAATCGTTTTTTAAACGGTTTTCGTTTTCGTTTGTTTTCGTTAACAAATCGATATCGGGGATTCTTGTTAATTGTTATCTTATTGTGTGGTCTCTCGCTTGGCGCGATTGCCGGCTCTTCGATTATAAACCGCAAGAAGAAGAAGAAAAAACAAAAGATATAGTTTATGGTACCTTTTCCTGTCGTAATTTATCTCGCGCACAGTTCGCGGGAGAGTTTTATCTGATATCGTCCCGCGTTATCGGTAAAAGGAGTCTAATATTAAAATTCGTTGTTTATTGATGTCATAAAGTGGATACCGATTTTTTTTTACGCGATTATTCCGAACGTCCATTTTGAAAATAACCATTATCATGATAAATTAATAGGAATTTTGTTTTCCAAGGTTCTGAACTCAAATAAAATATAATTTGAGATAAAATTGTTTTTCTCTAATTATTAAATATGTGTTTAAATTTGAAGGGAAAAAATATATACAAATATTATAATTAATTGCAGTAATTTTTCAACATTGCATTGTAGATTTTAGTGAATACGCTTAATTTCCGCTGACAATAGTCGGTAAAATAAAACACGTTTGTAATGAAAATAATCTTTGGCGATTAACTAAATTATTACAAAGAAATCAAAAGTATAAATTTTACAATATGACAATTGCGTGTTGTGTTATTACACTATATATATATATATATATATATATATATATATATATATATATATATATATATATATATATATATATATATATATATATATATATATATATATATATATATATATATATATATATATATATATATATATATATATCTTTATTCACCTTTTTAAGAAAAATTTATTACATATGAAAAGTTCTGCATGGTGCAGTAAAAGCTAAAATCAAATAACCCTATATCATTTTTTTTTCTTTTGTACGTCTCAAAGTTCTTACAAGCATTTAAATCTCACTCTTACTTACTAATACTACGAAAGAAATTTGATATCATAGTTTTTTATTTTTAATCATAAATTCTTTGGAAAAAAATCAAACTAGGAGCAGGTATAACAATAACTTTAATACATAAAAAGAAATGATTCCAACTTAAGCAAAAATAGAATATTTTGTTAAAATAAATGTTTAAATACAACATAGTTTAACAGTTTTCAAAGAATGTAAGTCTGCACTTTGTATTATTCGGAATAAACTCAATAAGACCAGATATTGAAAAAAAAGTGGCAATAAGCATCATATATTTATATACATATACATATTTTTGTTATTAAAATAAAGGTTTGTATACAACACAGCGTAACATAGTTAAAAATCACTTTTAATGAATTAAGTTTACACTTTCGGAATAAAGTGTTCATGGAACACCAGTTATTCACCTAGACGTAATTTTTCGCTCAATATAAAAATTATGCTTACCCTATATCATAAAAAGCCACAAAAACTACTGGATTCAAAATTTTCGGGTAACGCTTAAAATCTGACATATCCAACTGCAACCAAACCACAACTGGCCGACAAAATCCTAGATATGGCCGTCGGACAACCTTTTTATTTCGGAATCAAGCCATGATTGGTGTTTGAGTCGGGCTTCCCGCTGATATACTCGGATGGAATTTCTAACCCGACTTGACAGAGATAAAGGTCTTTATATGCCGAGAAGGTCAGGTAGAAAACCGGGTTTACAGACACGGACTAGGTAACACGTAAAAGAGGAAGAAACTGATTTCCAAAAAATAATTGTATTACTAACCAAAAATAACAAGCAAAATTATTGCACACCCCTGGTATTTTTATTGTAAGGGGTGTTTTTTTTTCGATGTATAGAACTTTAAGTTGCAATAAAACAACGATGGATTATTCGATTGACATGAATTTTATTTATCCGAAAGATAATCTTATGGCATTACATTTTAAATATGATTTCTGACATATGACCGCCACGGCTGGCGCGGATGTAGTCCAATCTGGACGTCCATTTTCGATGACTTTTTCCAACATTTGTGGCCGTATATCGCCAATAATACGGCGAATGTTGTCTTCCAAATGGTCAAGCGTTTGTGGCTTATCCGCATAGACCAATCACTTTACATACCCCCACAGAAAGTAGTCTAGCGGTGTTAAATCCCAAGATCTTCGAGGCCAATTCACAGGTCCAAAACGTGAAATTAGGCGGTCACCAAACGTGTCTTTCAATAAATCGATTGTGGCACGAGCTGTGTGACATGTTGCGCCGTCTTGTTGAAACCACATCTCCTGGGCATCATGGTTATTCAATCCAGGAATGAAAGAGTTAGTAATTATAGCTCCATACCGATCACCATTGACTGTAACGTTCTGGCCAACATCGTTTTTGAAGAAGTACGGACCAATGATTCCACCAGCCCATAAAGCGCACTAAACAGTCAGTTTTTCTGGATGTAACGGTGTTTCGACATACACTTGAGGATTAGCTTCGCTCCAAATGCGCCAGTTTTGTTTGTTGACGTAGCCATTCAACCAGAAGTGCGCTTCATCGCTAAACAAAATTCGCTTATGAAAATCCGTAACAACGGCAATCTCGTTTTGGGCCCATTCAACGAATCTACGCCTTACTTGATGATCGCTTGGCTTCAATTCTTGCACGAGTTGGATTTTGTAAGCACGTAAACCAAGATCCTTCCGCAAAATCTTCCATAAAGTGGATGGACACAGATCCAATTCCTGTGCTCGATGGCGGATGGACTCATTCGGGTCTTCCTCAATGCCAAGCTCTACAGCAGCAATAGCTTCTTTTGTACGCACCGTATGGCGAGTTATCAATAAGAGTAAACGTGGTGCGAAAACGTTCCATGGTTAATCGAATTAACTGCTCTGATGGACGATTTTGTCGACGATAAAATGGCCGTAGTGCGCGATACGTATTCCGCACAGAACCATTATTTTAGAAATAAAATTGAACTATTTGCAAGTGTTGTTCAGGCGTGAGTCTATTCATGATGAATTGCCAAACCAAACTGAGAGT